GGCACCTGAAACTTGCAATAAAAACGTGAAAAATATCATTTTTGATAAATTTGTTGTGACAAATACTGCAGAGTGGTGCACTGTAAGCATTTGTACTGGATACACAGCATAATCTTAGGGCACTATACGGCCTCTTTCACACGGGCGGCCAGGGGGACAGTAAAAACAGAGGTGCGGTTTTACACCCACCAGGCAACCCGTCTCAAGTCTAAAATTCAGCCGGAGGGGGGCTGTTCATATGCCACAACCATGATGTCTCACTCACGGCAAATTTAATGGAGCATTCCAAGTTGAAAGGCAGCACCACCTATCAAACTTGACCAATCAAGTCAATGGGGCACAATGCTTGGTTTATGGTCCCATTGTAAATGGCAAAACATGAATAAAATACAGGCATTCAAGAGGAAGCAGGATCACCTTCTGAATGCCTGACAGCAGCTCTGAAAAATGATCCACCACAGAGTGTTAACCTAGTGTAAAGTGTCCATAGATGGATTGAATCTTGGCCGGTCAAGCAGGGACTGGTTGGGATTCGGTCCATCTGTGAGCAGGCTGGTTGCATCCAAGACGATCTATCGATCGACTTGGGCACAACCAGCCTGTTGGATTTTTTTACATGCAATTACTGCCGGAACCTATAACCACTAGCAGTAATCATTGTGCTCTGCTGGCCGGGAAGGTTCCCAGCTGGTAGAACACACTAGCTCTGCGGGAGGGATTCTCCCATCAACACTAATGCAGGCCATAGACGGGTCGAAAACCGGCCGTTTAAAAAAAAAAAAAAAAAAATCGGTCGTTCAATCGGCCAACGTTACCACCAACGGTAAACAAATTGTCTGATTTTCGTCCCGTCTACGGCCAGCATTTTTACTTCTGTCCCTGCAGAGAGCTCCGTTATTATATTTTACATGAATAAAGTCTTGCGGTTGCAACAATGTATCCATTTGTATCCATTTTGGATACAGGTGTTTTTATTCGGGTACAAATAGATACATTGTTGCAACCGCAAGACTTTTCGTATAAAATATAATAGCGGAATGGACTGGAATTCTTTTTCTTTTTTTCTCTTCTTTTTCTTCTTCTTCCTTTTTTTTTTCTTCTTCTTTTCTTCTTCTTCTCTTTTTCATATTCTTCTGCTTCTTCTTCTTCTTCTTTTTCTTCTTCTTCTCTTTTTCTTATTCTTCTGCTTTTTTCTTCTTTTTCTTCTTCTTCTTCTTCTGCTCCTTTTTCTTCTTCTTCTCTTTTTCTTATTCTTCTGCTTCTTTTTTTCTTCTTATTCTTCTTCCTTTCTTTTTCTTTCTTCTCCTTTTTCTACTTCTTCTTTTTCTTCTTCTTCTTTTTCTTCTTCTCTTTTTCTTCTTCTTCTTCTTCTCTTTTTCTTATTCTCTTCTTCTTCTCTTTTTCTTATTCTCCTTCTTCTCTTTTTCTTATTCTTCTGCTTCTTTTTCTTCTTCTTTCTTCTTTTTCTTCTTCCTCTTCTTCTTCTTCCTCTTCTTCTTTTCCTCTTCTTTTTCTTCTTCTTCTTCTTCTTCTTCTTTTTTTTTTCTTCTTCTTCTTCTTTTTTTCTTCTTCTTCTTTTTCTGCTTTTTTTTCTTCTTTTTCTTCTTCTTTCTTCTTCCTCTTCTTTTTCTTCTTCTCTTTTTCTACTTCTTTTTTTCTTCTTCTTCTTTTTCTTCTCTTTTTTCTTCTTCTTCTTCTTCTCTTTTTCTTATTCTTCTTCTTCTCTTTTTCTTATCTTCTTCTTTTTCTTCTTCCTCTTCTTCTTTTTCTTCTTCCTCTTCTTTTTCTTCTTTTTCTTCTTCTCTTCTTTTTCTTCTTCTTCTTTTTCTTCTTCTTCTTCTTTTTCTTCTTCTTCTTTTTCTTCTTCTTCTTCTTTTTTCTTCTTCTTCTTTTTCTTCTTCTTCTTCTTCTTCTTCTTTTTCTTTCTTCTTCTTTTTCTTCTTCTTTTTTTTCTTCTTCTTCTTTTTCTTCTTTTTTCTTCTTCTTTTTCTTTTTCTTCTTCTTTTTTTTCTTCTTCTTCTTCTTTTTTTTCTTCTTCTTTTTTTTCTTCTTCTTCTTTTTTTCTTCTTCTTCTTCTTTTTCTTCTTCTTTCTTTTTCTTCTTCTTCTTTTTCTTTTTTTTCTTCTTCTTTTTCTTCTTCTTTTTTTTTCTTCTTCTTTTTTCTTCTTTTTCTTCTTCTTTTTTTCTTCTTCTTTTTTTCTTCTTCTTCTTTTTTTCTTCTTCTTCTTCTTTTTCTTCTTCTTGCAGGTCACGGCTCATGCGCAGTTTTTTTATCGGTGAAACAATCAACCGATTTGTCCATCATTCCCGGGAAAATCACCCGATCGTCAAATTCGACCACGAAGTTTCCAAATTTACCGATAAAAAAAATGTGCCAAAAGCCTGAAAAACAGGCGACCAAATAACCGACTAACGGTGTGAAAATCGGCCTATGTTTTTTTTGGCTGAAAAATCGGCCGATTTACAACCCGTCTATGGCCTGCATTACTGTGTTAATGGGCAAATTCGAGTGATTTATTTCCTTCCCCTGCGTTAGAAGGCAATGGGGCTCTTATTATAAATATCGCTCACTCACTATTTGTGGTCTTCCTGAATCTACCGGTCATGTCTATCTAGATAGCTAAGCTCTGCTACTTTCCCAGTTCATATTCAAGGGAAATGAAAACTGGATAGCAATTTATATTTTTGATTTTGGACAAAATTACCCTGTTGACACTAGAACAGGAAGCGAGGTGACAATTCCTATTTATTGAGGTCAGATATTTAAAAAAAATAAAATAAAACAAAAATTTTCACTTTTACCAACTATTAAAAAAAAAAAAAAAAAAAAATTATTTGGATGGCTTAAAATATAGCTTTTTTTTTTTTTTTAGTTTTGGATAGAGTGGAAAGGGATTAGCACTCCTGTCAGTTTTTATTGCTGTGCTCCCTTTTGGAAGATTCCCCCTCTCCATTTGTCTTGTTTACTATTATCATTGAAAGAGAAAGTAAAAGAAACCCCAAATTTTGGGTTGTCCCCAGAAAAGAAAACTGGGGAAATTTTCTGATGGGGAAACAAGTTCTGGTGACCTGGGGGGCCCCAAAGAATTTTCTTAATTTGCAGAGATTTTCTCACTTCCTGTTTGGCTATGGGACAGGAAGTGAGGGTAAATCTCCCCATGGAACACAGATGCCAACAAATAAACTGAGAGGAATTCCTCCCTTACTCTATTCAAAATGAAAAAAAAAAAAAAGAGTTTTACCTATAGTTCTACTTTTAATGGTACCCTCCAGCAAAAAGTAAACAAAAAAATGTATGTCCAAGCAAAAAAAAAGTCAGTACATCTGTTTAATGCATTTCCACATTTTTTGCCTCTTTAAAAATGCTTCAAGTGAAGAAAAATATATGTTGATCTGCCAGAAATTCGGGGAGCTCCTAGCTTCCTGTTGACAACGATGTCACTGCTGCACTGAAATTCTTGACAGTGTTGTCAGACCTGCCCATTTTTCCTCTGCTGGACTACAGAACTTCCCCCTTCTAATTTCCGTAACATAAGGGGGGGTCCTGTAATCTAGCAGGGGAGGACTCCAGCAGGTCTTATAACACTTCTTGGGATACCAGGAGGGGACAATGTGGAAAGCTGAACCTCCTGAGCAGTTACACGGAAAGCAATAAAAACCAAACACAGTTTCCATCCTTCGCATACCATGTCCAAAAAGGAAAAATTGCATTGGATGCACTTTAAAGGGTCTATTTATAAGTGAGTCCACCCAAGATTTCAAATATTTTCCAATTGAATCCAATTAGCAAAAAATTGTGAATCTTGGGTAAATATTGTAAGTCTAACTGTGACGGAAGTCACTTTCGGTGGGGGGGCCCATGGAACCCAGCTCACTTTGGAGAGGTGGGGAGACCCCTGTCTCAGCTCCCCATATCCCTCTTATGTGTAAGTCACCCTGTGCCTGTTAGGGGTACAGAGTGATCTGTCCTAATATTGGGTTGGGGGGTTGTTGATTGATTGATGTTATGTGGTTGCATCCCATTGTTCTATTACACGTTTGGCTTGGGAGCAAAATATTATGGGATGTATGTGTTTATCTGTATTGGCTTGGTGGGGGGGGGGGTGTCTCTAGCAGCTCTCCCTCCTGATGGGACTGTCTGCTGGTGTGAAGTTTGAATACCTGTGTGCCTCTTGTTACTAAATGTAGATTGCCCCGCCCTGTGTCATTATGCAGGGAGGGGGGGGCTTGTCCCCTTGAGTGCATATATCTTGTATCTGTGTTCAAATAAACTAGTCTACCTCCTGGTTTACTTCAAGATTGGTGTCGTCTAGTCTTGTATGGTCTGCTGTGGTGTCTGTCGTCGGTGTGTTCGGACGGGGAAGCGGTAGTCTAACGGAAGTACCCAAGCGCAGTCTGGGATCAGTTCCGTTACACTATCATTCTAACCATTCATACCCTGTCGAAAAAAGTTAAATAATTGCTTTAGATTTAAAAATGTTTTCACCCAAGAATCACAAAACTTCAACCCAGGATTCACACATTTTCCCAATTAAATCCAATAACAAAACATGGCAATTTTGGGTGAATGGTTATAAAGAGTGTTAAGAAATATTCAATTTTTGGGTGAGAATTTTGCAGGAAGTCTTGAAGTATTCTTGTTGGGAGGTCTCCCCTGCTTACTTACTGCCAAGCCTTGAATCTCCATTGTCAAAATCTAAAATGAGCTCTCCTTAAATCCCTACAACAATTCCATTAAAGAGTTTAGAATGCAGGAACGCAGAGTTATCTGCTGTCTAGTGGATTTTGTGGACAACTCATTTTAGGCGGGCACCAAAAGTTTAGCTGAAAAGTTGTGCTGAACATGAGAGAAACTCTCTTCACTGGTATTCATAGGTTTGCAAAACCCTACAGCTCTAAGATAAAAATCCTTTCTTGACGGTTTCTTCTATAATTCTTTTTCTTTTTTGCTTTTACATTTAGTCACTTTATTAAAATGATCTCTTTTGTTGTTTGCAGGGATGGAGGAAGCTAGTTTGTGCCTTGGAGTTTCTTCAGCTGTGCCTGACGTTGACACTCACCTCAACAACTCTTTGCTGAATGGCCAGTATTCAATGAGTCAGAAGCTACACCAGATCACTTCCCAGCTCAGTCATGCCTTCCCAGAGCTGCAGAACCGCCAGAAATCCGAAGACAAGCCTGTGACGCCCTTAGAAGAGAAAAGTCATGTGTCGATGACAGGTCAACCGATCAACAACCAGATGGCTTTATTGGCCAACCAACTCAATCGGGAAGTTGATAGCGGTCTTAATGGAAGAGTTGACCTGCAACAGTTTCTCAATGGACAGAACCTTGGGATCATGTCCCAGATGAGTGACATTGAGGATGATGCACGGAAGAACAGAAAGTACCCGTGTCCACTTTGCGGCAAGCGTTTCCGTTTTAATAGCATATTGTCACTACACATGCGTACTCACACTGGGGAAAAGCCTTTTAAGTGCCCCTATTGTGACCACCGGGCAGCCCAGAAGGGCAACTTGAAGATCCACCTACGCACTCACAAACTTGGAAATCTTGGCAAAGGCCGAGGGAGAGTCAGAGAAGAAAACCGGCTTTTGCATGAGCTGGAGGAAAGAGCAATATTACGGGACAAACAGATGAAAAGCAGCCTTCTTCAGCCCCGACTGGACGTGAAACCACAACAACAGCACTTACAGCAATCCCCCTTACCCAACTGTCACGTATCAGTGCCAGCGAATCATAACACTTCTGACATTTCCAGCAAAGTGCCATCTCCGAAACCTGCGGTTGTTCAAGAGGAGGCAGTTGCTCCCACCACAGGATTCAGATGCACATTCTGCAAAGGTAAATTTAAAAAACGGGAAGAGCTGGATAGGCATATCCGAATATTGCACAAGCCTTACAAGTGCACTCTTTGTGATTTTGCTGCCTCTCAGGAGGAAGAGTTGATTAGTCATGTAGAGAAGGCCCACATCACAGCAGAGTCCGTTCAAGGCCAAGGTTCCAGTGGTAATGGAGAGCAGTCAACCAGTGAATTCCGCTGCGAAGTTTGTGGTCAGGTCTTTAGCCAAGCTTGGTTCTTGAAGGGCCACATGAGGAAGCACAAGGATTCATTTGAGCATTGCTGCCAGATATGCGGAAGGCGCTTCAAAGAGCCTTGGTTTTTGAAAAACCACATGAAGGTCCACCTAAACAAATTGTCTGTCAAGAACAAGTCCCCCAGTGAAGCAGAGGTTCCAGGCTCAATTAATAGCATTTCACAGGAGACTCACACCAATCTTTACTCCAGATATATATCTTGCTTACAAAGCGGCTTTATGCCTGCCGATAAAGCAAATTTGAGTGAACATGGCCACATTTATAACAAATCTGATTTGAAAGAGAAGGATGTCATTGGTAAACTTCTGTCACCAATCACCGGCTTGGCTCATAACATGTCTGAAAGCGAAAAGCATTCTTTGCTTGGCTCCCTCAATTTGGTGCCTCCACTTAAATCCAGTTGCATAGAACGGTTGCAGGCTGCAGCTAAAGCAGCTGAGATGGATCCAGTCAACAGCTACCAAGCTTGGCAACTTATGGCAAGAGGAATGGCTATGGAGCACAGCTTCCTGTCTAAAGAACAGCAGATACAACGAAACCATGAAGACAGTTTATCCAGTCCTGGGGTTCTGTTTGATAAAGAAAAGAGAGAGTATGTTATTGTTGGACCGGATGGCTCCAAGCAGAAAATGCCAACTGATTTGGTTCACAGCTCCAAAATGTGTAACCAGAGAGATGTGCCATCTAAACTTGACCTCCTTGAAAGCACGAGAGATTTCTTGTCCCATGGCCTAAACAAGGGGCATGAATACAGCATTCAAGGCCATGGAGCCCTGAATGATAAACCAACTGAATGTCCAGATTGTGGTAGGGTCTTTAGAACCTACCACCAAGTTGTGGTGCACTCGAGGGTCCACAAACGAGACAGAAAAGCAGAAGAAGAGGCACTTCGCATGAGCCTGGAGGAGCGGCGAGGATCAGGGAGCGACCAGGAATCTCAGTCTATGAGCCGGTCCACCACACCAGGGTCTTCAAACATCACGGAGGAAAGTGGAAACGGTGGTGCCCTGTCCCAAGCTGGAAGTGCACAGGAAGACAGTCCTCATCCATCCTCCCCTTCATCTTCAGGTATGAAACAATACATATCTCTGAAATGATATAGATTTATAAGTACAGGTTAGAGGTCAACCCCAATTATGTACAGTTCTCTTGCTGGGGCTTATCTTCTGGTTGGCCTGGGGCACATTTCTTTATTTTTTAAAAGATCAGGAAACTGGTGGTGTGCCCATGCAGGTCAAAGCAAGAGGTTGGCCTTTAATTCTCAGTCCCCCAGAAGCACACCTTTTCCTCCCTCCCCTGTTGCTTCGTTCAGCTTCCAAGAGCAAAAAAGATACCCGGTACTTCAGGGTAAGGAGGAACATATGATTAACTCACCTTCCTCCTGTGACAATGGGGGGGGGGGGGTGCTTGGCTATTGTCCCAACTATGTTACATGGGAAGAAAATCGTCAGCCCTGTTTAAGCTCCAACTAGAGTGAACCACATCCTTTTTCTTGCTCCTTGCTGATTCAGAGAATGGGGAGGATATGTTCTTTTTGGGAACTGGGTAGATATTAAAGTACATCTGCTGGTAAAATGAAAGAGGAGGATGCATCCATAGGGCAAATGGGTGACATTAAAATATATCTGCTGCTTTGTCTTGCATGGGCAAAGCACAGGTTCAATTTATACTCATAAGAATTTCAGTTAACCTCAATATAATATATATATATATATATATATATGTAAAATGTTATATAATTTAGATTTTTTTTTACATGATACAATCCTGCTCTCTATAAGTTCAAAATCATCAAAACCTGCATTGTTCACAACAATATTTAGGGTGGTCTGAAATCCTGCACGGCTTAACCTGTCTTCCCCCATAAAACATACCGTCTGTGCAGAGGTAAAAGGGTGGGCTTTAATGTCACTGGGCAGCCAATGTCAGTGACTGGCGGGACCGCCTCCTGATCATGTGACCGCAAATCACAGTGGTCACATGATCACCGGTCCTTTTTTTTAATTAAAGCAGCCACAGCTACAGAGTAAAAAAGGCTGTCCAATGCTGCAAAAAAAAAAGAAAATACAGTTTATTTCTGTGTGCACACAGTCAGGGGCGGACTGACAGCTCATGGGGCCCCCGGGCAATAAGGGATCATGGGGCCCCTGTGTCCTCGCCCAAACTGAAAAAAGCCTATGAAAAAGGTACCAGGGGCATCTCATGGGGCCCCCTACTGACCCTGGGCCCTCGGGCAGTGCCCGAGTTTCCAAATGGTCAGTCCGCCCCTGCACATAGTGTACTCTGCTGATGGCTGATACACTGCCTGCTGCGTCAAACCTACAGCTCCGCAATCAACAGGGAGTGTAGGCTTTGCTGGTTGCAGAGCTATAAGTCTGATTCATCAGAGGATGGGCAAGACCCCTGCAGAGAGATCTCTGCTTCCACACCTCAACAGGGAGTGTGGGCTTTGCTGGCTCAAGAGCTATAGGACTGACCAGTCTACCAGTTTGTTTTCTTCAGAAAGCAGCCTCAGCTTAAGGAGAAAAACCTGTCCCCTGCCAACAAGCTCCAGTGGGGTACCCTTGCCCTCCGTTGCTTCAGTGGTCACCCTGCACAGAGGTGTGGAAGCAGAGATCTCTCTGCAGGGGTCTGGCGCACCTTCTGCAGGGTGACCACTGCTTCCAAGGAGAGCAAGGGTCCCACACTGGAGTGTGTGGGCTTTGCTGATTGCAGAGCCATAGGTTTGACCCTGCAGAGGGTGGGCCAGACCCCCTGTAGAGAGATCTCTGCTTCCACACCTCAACAGGGAGTGTGGGCTTTGCCAGCTGCAGGGCCATAGATCTGACTCATCAGAGGGTGGGCCAGACCCCTGCGGAGAGATCTCTGCTTCCACATGTCAACAGGGTGTGTGGGCTTTGCCAGCTGAAGAGCCATAGGTTTGACCCTGCAGTGGGTGGGCCAGACCCCTGCAGAGAGATCTCTGCTTCCACACCTCAACAGGGAGTGTGGGCTTTGCCAGCTGCAGAGCTATAGGACTGACCAGTCTACCAGTTTGTTTTCTTAGCCTCAGCTTAAGGAGAAAATCCAGTCCCCTGCCAACAAGCTCCAGTGTGGTACCCCTGCCCTCTGTTGCATCAGGGGTCACCCTGCACAGAGGTGTGGAAGCAGAGATCTCTCTGCAGGGATCTGGCACACCCTCTGCAGGGTGACCACTGCTTCCATGTAGAGCAAAGGTCCCACACTGGAGCTTGTTGGCAGGGGACAGGCTTTTCTCCTTACGCTGAGGCTGCTTTCTAAAGAAAACAAACTGTTAGACCTTCCACGCCTTTTGTTAAGATGCACCTAAAGTGTATTTAGCCGATTCTGAAAGTTCAGTTGAGCGGTAATGGCAAATTTTTATGATTTACAGAAAATGTGTGTGACATTTAGAAAACCTGACCTGTAACAACAAGATTGTATAACATCGAGAACGCGCGCTCTGTTTGATCTCAGGAAACCACATTCCAATTATCTATAGCTTTCCGTGTCCTGAAAACCTGCCTTGATAAACAGTTCTTCCCAATGTCCTGAAAATCTGTTTAACACACAGTTATAGGACATCCTGAATATATGTCCTGTTTCCGACACCTTGATAGGATTCTAAACTTGTCCTGTATAACCCGATGTCTGAAGGTCATGTGATATGTATATCATGAAAACCTGCTCTGCCTGAGCAAAATCCCACCATCCTGCCGAGTCCAAAGCCTACTGTGGTTTTTTTTTTTTTTTTTTGGTGCGAGAATGCAGATAACAAATAGTCACAACATTTGGCCAGTAGGACAATACAACATTGAAAACATACAGTTTGTTACAGTATGAGAACCAGGTATCAGCGCGGGGGCAAAAGATGGACATTAAGAAACAAAAAAAAAAGATGGACAAGCAAATCCGAGGCTGAAAACATGCCGGGTTTACAGCCGAAATCCAAGCTAAATAAGTATTCTCCCGTTGTACTTCATGTATTTCTTCCAGATCTGTGCAGTAATCCAGTCTGAGACTTCCTGTAATAACCCACATGGAAGAAAATATATTTGAAATATATTTGAAAAATGTTCTTCCCGAATATATTGACAGATATTTGAAACACTACAATTTTGGCCATATTCAATATATTTAAAAATATATTTCAATTAAAAAAAAAAAAAAATATAATATATATATATATATATATATATACACATACACACACACACACACACACTGCATGTTGAAATTTTTTTTATTATAAAATATATGAAAAATATTTTTACAAATATTTTTTTTTTAAATATATTCTTCAGATTTTTTTTAACATACAAAAAGGTAATTTTAACATATATTTTTACATATATTTGTAAATGCATGTAAAAAATGTAGATTTGTAGACATACAGTATATTTTAAAATGTATTTTTAAAAAATATTTTTCATGTATTTTGTAATAAAAACACATTTCAACATACAATATATATATATATATATATATATTGTGGGGTTAGCTCAGGTGGGGGGGATCTCCTTCCCTGGGACAAAGGTAGACCGCACAGCAGGCTTTCGTCAAAATCTGACTGGTTGTCAGTTTTATTAAAAAGGTTTGCAAGAAATATCAAAATAAACAAAACATCAAAATAAACCCTTGCCATCCAGGCACTAACTAAACAGGAGATGATTCCTCTCTAAGAGGTGAAGGGCTTCTCCCTGTCACCAAAACAAAGTAACAGCAAACCTTTCCTTGCAGGTATAGTCCATACACACAGCTCTCTCAGAATACCTCTCTGAGTCCCAGGCCACGAGCAACTCTTTGCTCCAGCCCTGTCTTATTTATACCACCTGCTGGTGGTCATCAGTGGAGTCCAAACTCTGGTCCGGAACCACCTCTGCCATTGTGGCCCCGAAAACCCGGAGTGGACTCCACCTTACACCTCACAGTATGATCTCATGCGAGGTGACACATATCGTCCATCCATCACTTTGCCGTTCATACTGTCACAATATATATATATATAGTTAGTCTGGCTGAATATAAGAGCACTTTTCCCACTGATCACCAATGTAAGGGACATTCTACCCACTGATCACCAATGTAAGGGACATTCTTCCCACTGATCACCAATGTAAGGGACATTCTACCCACTGATCACCAATGTAAGGGACATTCTTCCCACTGACACCAATGACACACCAATGTAAGGGACATTCTTCCCACTGATCACCAATGTAAGGGACATTCTTCCCACTGATCACCAATGTAAGGGACATTCTTCCCACTGACCACCAATGTAAGGGACATTCTTCCCACTGACCACCAATGTAAGGAGCATTCTTCCCACTGACCACCAATGTAAGGGACATTCTTCCCACTGACCACCAATGTAAGGGACATTCTTCCCACTGACCACCAATGTAAGGAGCATTGTAAGGAGCTTTCTTCCCACTGATCACCAATGTAAGGGACATTCTTCCCACTGACCACCAATGTAAGGAACATTCTTCCCACTGATCACCAATGTAAGGAGCGTTCTTCCCACTGACCCCCAATGTAAGGAGCATTCTTCCCACTGACCACCAATGTAAGGGACATTCTTCCCACTGATCACCAATGTAAGGAGCATTCTTCCCACTGATCACCAATGTAAGGAGCATTCTTCTCACTGACCTCCAATGTAAGGGACATTCTTCTCACTGACCTCCAATGTAAGGGACATTTTTCCCACTCACCTCCAATGTAAGGAACATTCTTCCCACTGATCACCAATGTAAGGAGCATTCTTCCCACTGACCCCCAATGTAAGGGACATTCTTCCCACTGATCACCAATGTAAGGAGCATTCTTCCCACTGACCCCCAATGTAAGGGACATTCTTCCCACAGACCCCCAATGTAAGGGACATTCTTCCCACAGACCTCCAATGTAAGGAGCATTTTTCCCACTGACCACCAATGTAAGGGACATTCTTCCCACTGATCACCAATGTAAGGGACATTCTTCCCATTGACCACCAATGTAAGGGACATTCTTCCCCCTGACCACCAATGTAAGGCACATTCTTCCCACTGACCACCAATGTAAGGGGCATTCTTCCCACTGACCCCCAATGTAAGGAGCATTCTTCCTACTGACCACCAGTGTAAGGGACATTCTTCCCACTGACCCCAATGTAAGGAGCATTCTTCACACTGACCCCAATGTAAGGAGCATTCTTCCCACTGATCCCAATGTAAGGAACATTCTTCCCACTGACCATCAATGTAAGGGACATTCTTCCCACTGACCCCAATGTAAGGAGCATTCTTCACACTGACCCCCAATGTAAGGGACATTCTTCCCACTGACTTCCAATGTAAGGAACATTCTTCCCACTGACCACCAATGTAAGGGACATTCTTTCCACCGACCACCAATGTAAGGGACATTCTTCCCACTGATCACCAATGTAAGGGACATTCTTCCCACTGACCACCAACAAATTGTTTTTAGCAGGGGTCCCCCGAGACCTGAAAATGATTTCCTCCGCGGTAAAATGCTTAAGAAAGGCCAATTTAAACTGTTGAAACGTTTTTATTTCCAACTGTAGCTGCAACCTGAAAACCTGCAACACTGAATAACAGGTCCTCTCTATCATTAATAAAACCAACTGCCAAGGCACGGTGGACAGAAACCAGTGGAACTGTATTGGCCAGTATCTCCAGCTAGTTTCAGGAGTCTGTCCAATCATAGCTGTGAAAGTGAATGCAAGGTCTGGGCTGGCTTGGGCCACATCTGCTGAGCATTGATTGTTTCATTGAAAGTTGTGTCTGTAAAGAGAGAAGCTCTTACTAATACTGTAATCATACCGCAGACCTGGCGAGAGAGGAAATCAAGACATACTAGATTAACCTGTTACTATGAGCAACATTGATTTTTGCCATTTAGTCTGGACAATGAGAGACCGTCTGTGGAATGCTTATGCGGGCTGTGCCCGGTGTCAGGGGTCTGCCGGATAACATGGCTCTGTAATGGACCGCTGGATTAAAGCTGAACTCTAGGTCAATGGCTAAATGCATTGCTGAAATACAGATATGTCTACCGTTTTATCAAAACATGTACTAATCTGTTCAGATGCCCCTAACAGAGTGAATGACCAAGTTGGTGGCATGACTTTTCCTTTGTTGCCTTTAAAGTGGTTGTAAGCCTCTGAAATGAAAAATGAACAAAGCACATCCTTCTATAGCATGTACTTGCCTCACTCCAAAGCACCTAGACTACATTAGGCCGAGGATAAAATGGAGATTTAGGAGAACGTGGAGTGGTTGGATGAAAGTTAAGATCTCGGAAACATACGTTGAATTAATTAGAGCAAAGGGGTAGTATAGAAAATCTGGTAGTTTTAAAGAAAGTATAATGGCCTAAAGGGAAGGAGAGAAAAAGAATAAAAAAGGAATAGTACTAGATACAGATAGATATTAGAATAGTAGGAGAGGGGGGATTGCGGGAGATTGGGGGGGGGGGGAGGGGTGGGAGAGGGTAGTAGATAAAATGGATATTGTATTCTTATGAGGGGTTAAGTTTGTTTGTTTGTTTATATATTGATTAAAGAGATGAGAAGAAAGGGGGGGAAAGGGGAGGAGGAGGGGGGGGGGGGGAGGAAGGGGGGAAGGGTAAAATAAATATGCTGTCAGAGGAATATGATGATGGATATTGCTGTTTTTTTTATCTATGAAAATTCAATGATATCAGCGGTACTGTGCTGATGTTTCCTCAAAAAAAAAAAGAAAAAGACTACATTAGACCCACATTAGACTACCATTGAAGAAAGGAAAGAACAGAACCATCCCTCTAGCAGCTATCCTGGCCTCTGCTCTGCTTGACAGGAGTGACGCTGCGGCGACTCCTGACAATTAGCAAGAGGCTGGAGAACTCAGCACAGGCTGTAACAAACCAGCATCCTGTAGGCATCTCCAGGCAAAAGACAAGTTCCAAGGTATGCCTATTACACAGAACATATTTACCAATATCTGATACTTTTTGAACTGTAAAAAACAATCCTTCAGTCGTTGCAATAGATATAAATGAAAATAAAGGCATGGGCTGCTTCAATGATTTCGAACCAGGGACGCCATTTTACATTCTGTTGCTTCCTAGTTGGGACTTCATTGATTTTTTTTCACCACTAACCAACCTACAGCCCATCAGATCACCAGGGTATTCTACCGGCATCAACATTAGAATATTCCGGTTTACCAGCCTGGAGCCATTCGAAGCTCTGGGCCTCATTCACTCGAGCAGCGTGGAGCTGTACTAATATGTAATGTATTAAAATAGGCTTGACGATAATTATTGTATTTCCCATGGACTTCAGCTGCAAGCTTTTATGTGCTTCTCAGACTTGTGCAGAAAAAAAAGTGAGTGCATTGTAAGTTTATTTTTTAGGAAATGGAAAATGATCTAATTTGTAAACTGATCTAAATTGAGGATGTAAAAATCTATGAACCGGAGTAGAAAAATGTAAAAATTCTCAGGAAAAAAAGCATCTTCCATTCTCTATCCACTTACTTCAACATGCTAAGGAAAACAACAAGAAAAATAAAACATACAGTGCTGCACAATAATTATATATATATCTACAGTCAGGTCCATAAATATTGGGACATCGACACAATTCTAACATTTTTGGCTCTATACACCACCACAATGGATTTGAAATTAAACGAACAAGATGTAATTTAACTGCGGACTGTCAGCTTTAATTTGAGGGTATGTACATCCAAATCAGGTGAACGGTGTAGGAATTACAACAGTTTGCATATGTGCCTCCCACTTTTTAAGGGACCAAAAGTAATGGGACAATTGGCTTCTCAGCTGTTCCATGGCCAGGTGTGTGTTATTCCCTCATTATCCCAATTACAATGAGCAGATAAAAGGTCCAGAGTTCATTTCAAGTGTGCTATTTGCATTTGGAATCTGTTGCTGTCAACTCTCAAGATGAGATCCAAAGTGCTGTCACCATCAGTGAAGCAAGCCATCATTAGGCTGAAAAAACAAAACAAACCCATCAGATAGATAGCAAAAACATTAGGCGTGGCCAAAACAACTGTTTGGAACATTCTTAAAAAGAAGGAACGCACCGGTGAGCTCAGCAACACCAAAAGACCCGGAAGACCACGGAAAACAACTGTGGTGGATGACCGAAGAATTCTTTCCCTGATGAAGAAAACACCCTTCACAACAGTTGGCCAGATCAAGAACACTCTCCAGGAGGTAGGTGTATGTGTGTCAAAGTCAACAATCAAGAGAAGACTTCACCAGAGTGAATACAGAGGGTTCACCACAAGATGGAAACCATTGGTGAGCCTCAAAAACAGGAAGGCCAGATTAGAGTTTGCCAAACGACATCTAAAAAAGCCTCCACAGTTCTGGAACAACATCCTATGGATAGATGAGACCGAGATCAACTTGTACCAGAGTGATGGGAAGAGAAGAGTATGGAGAAGGAAAGGAACTGCTCATGATCCTAAGCATACCACCTCATCAGTGAAGCATGGTGGTGGTAGTGTCATGGCGTGGGCATGTATGGCTGCCAATGGAACTGGTTCTCTTGTATTTATTGATGATGTGACTGCTGACAAAAGCAGCCGGATGAATTCTGAAGTGTTCTGGGCAATATTATCTGCTCATATTCAGCCAAATGCTTTAGAACTCATTGGACGCCGCTTCACAGTGCAGATGGACAATGACCCAAAGCATACTGCAAAAGCAACCAAAGAGTTTTTTAAGGGAAAGAAGTGGAATGTTATGCAATGGCCAAGTCAATCACCTGACCTGAATCCGATTGAGCATTTCACTTGCTGAAGAGTGAAGACAAAACTGAAGGGAAAATGCCCCAAGAACAAGCAGGAACTGAAGACAGTTGCAGTAGAGGCCTGGCAGAGCATCACCAGGGATGACACCCAGCATCTGGTGATGTCTATGCGTTCCAGACTTCAGGCTGTAATTGACTGCAAAGGATTTGCAACCAAGTATTAAAAAGTGAAAGTTTGATTTATGATTATTATTCTGTCCCATTACTTTTGGTCCCTTAAGAAGTGGGAGGCACATATGCAAAGTGTTGTAATTCCAACACTGTTCACCTGATTTGGATGTAAATACCCTCAAATTAAAGCTGACAGTCTGCAGTTAAAGCACATCTTGTTCATTTCATTTCAAATCCATTGTGGTGGTGTATAGAGCCAAAAATGTTAGAATTGTGTCAATGTCCCAATATTTATGGACCTGACTGTATATATATATATACACATATATATATATATATATATATATATATATATATATATATATACATATATATATTTTTTTTTTTGTTAAAAGCATCTAATAGTTCCTTATAAACTATCTAGACAAAAGTTGGTGGACATCCTTGTTGGAAATCCCATTCCAAAATCAGTAATATGGAGTTGCCCCCCCCCCCCCCCCCCCCTTTGCATTTATAGCAGCCTTTACACTTCTGGGAAGGGGAAACAGGAAGGCGCTTCTAAGTGCAGTATTCCAGGTCACTTAGAAGTAGGGGCAGACTGACCATTTGGAAACTCGGGCACTGCCCGAGTGCCCGGGGTCAGTAGGGGGCCCCATGAGATGCCCCTGGTACCTTTTTCATAGGCTTTTTTGAGTTTGGGCAAGGACACAGGGGCCCCATGATCCCCTATTGCCCAGGGGCCCCATGAGTTGTCAGTCCACCCCTGGGCATTTTTTGGAGGATCTCTGTGGAAATTTGTGCCCATTGAGCCAAAAGAGCAGTTGGCGTCCTATTTCACACCAAAGGTGTTCAGTAAGGTTGAGATCAGGACCAGATCCTCTACACCATAGACTTTCCACAAGATTTTGGAGGATCTCTGTGGAAATTTGTGCCCATTGAGCCAAAAGAGCAGTTGGCGTCCTATTTCACACCAAAGGTGTTCAGTAAGATTGAGATCAGGACCAGATCCTCTACACCATAGACTTTCCACAAGATTTTGGAGGATCTCTGTGGAAATTTGTGCCCATTGAGCCAAAAGAGCAGTTGGCGTCCTATTTCACACCAAAGGTGTTCAGTAAGGTTGAGATCAGGACCAGATCCTCTACACCATAGACTATCCACAAGATTTTGGAGGATCTCTATGGAAATTTGTGCCCGTTGAGCCAAAAGAGCAGTTGGCGTCCTATTCCACACTAAAGGTGTTCAGTAAGGTTGAGATCAGACTTTCCACAAGATTTTGGACCAGTGCCCATTGAGCCAAAAGAGCAGTCTACACACCATAGACTAGATCCACACCATAGATTTTGGAGGATCTCTATGGAAATTTGTGCCCGTTGAGCCAAAAGAGCAGTTGGCGTCCTATTCCACACTAAAGGTGTGTTCAGTAAGGTTGAGATCAGGACCAGATCCTCTACACCATAGACTTTCCACAAGATTTTGGGGTGTGTCTGTGGGA